TCAATTCTCGAAAGGCAGTTGTAATCCCTTCCTTTGCACTAAGTGAACCTGCTCCCACCGAGCGGGAGCTCCATCAGAGCATACTCATTAACAACACTGTTAAACTCTATCATCATATTTTTACCACGCCTTGCACCCTTATAGTCTTCATGACTGCGTACCAAATTAAAATTCCCAATAATGCACAAGGGTGCCTGGCAGAATTTCACCGAGAAATAGAAGCTTATCCTCTCTTTCTTGTGGTCCACAAACAACCACCAAATTCCAAACCTTCAATGATGCCACCTCTTGGAACTTGACGACCACCAGAAACCTGTCTTCCCATGAAGGAATGCAAGAGAAGAACAGCTTGTCCCAAAACACTGTGATCCCTCCAGAACTACTCATTGCATTTTTCACAACCCATCCATACTCCATAGATACTCTGATACTACGAATCATCCCTTCATCATAGGCATCCCATTTACTTTTGACCAACCTTACAATTTTCGGCTTGCGCATACCAATAGGCCGCTTCATCACAGGCATCCAATTTCCTCTGAGGTTCCAAACAAATACTGAAGATTTCATAAAGCAACATTAATCAGAGATTCGACCCCCCTTTTTCTTACTCTGACGGGTCTCAGTCAGAGGCGGCGCAATCGGCCATAGCCGCAATTCTTCCATTTCTAGCTTAGATCTTGTCGGATGGACTTTCCTCTGATGGAATCGTTTGTTTGTAATTCCAATTACTCTCCCCATGTCCTCCCTCCCTCCATCGTCTTCCAAGAGGAGCGTCGCGCCCACTACCATACTCGCAGATTCAAGAGTGCCCAAATCAAAAAGAAAGGAATCGAGTTGCCACTTGCCACACCTGAGATTGGGTATCAAAGATGCAGGAAGGAGATGGAATTTCAATAACCGATTCAGAGACAGGGGTTATGCCACTGGGAGCAAATGATCATCAAAGGAGCTAAGCGGAGAGAAGGGGGTGAGGACTCATGGCACATTGGTGAGGAGGGAGGTGATGGGTAGCTCTCAACCAAAAGGGCAGGGGATAACACCTTGCTTCTGCAGGAAGAGATAGAGCTTCTACCATCAAAGACAATCACCTCATACAAGCTGCAATTCCACGAGATCAGTGTTCTATTCGATAAAGAGGAAAGTGCTGGACCAGACGAAGGAAAATCTTTGGCTGCCTACGGAAGGATAGACCTAACCAGGTTGAAGCAAACCACCTTTGGATTTTGAAATGGGCCGAACAGCCCAATAGAGAGGAAGAGAGACCAGGGCCCATGCAAAAGGGAAAAAAGATCAGTCCCAGACTGCTCACCCATGTCCGAAAGAGCCTTTCCACTCCACTCCAGATTAGGAGAATCCAGGGCACGAGATTCAGGCTGATTCTAAGGCCCAAATTTTATGACCAAACATGTTTCGTTCACCTAATGGTGTCTCAAATAACCCTAGAAGCTACGGTATTAGCATTCAAAATAGTGACGTGCACACAGCTGTTCACCGCCATAATAGGGACGTTAGTTCTTAGAGAGTGACGATCCATCTTCCCCTTGGGTTACAATAATCCATTTTCTATTTTGAATTTCAATCAGATTCTCACGACTCATCTGCTTTTCGTTACGCTTCCCCTGCTCCGCCAACCGAATACCCAATAGAGACCGCACCGACGACTCCCAAATCTTCACACTGAACCACTGATTCCCATTTGCTAGTCTAATTTCTCTTGAAAGATCTCCATCCTTTCTCACCCTTATTCGAACGTAAGAGGAGCTCCATGAGTTCCAAACTATGTCAACCAGCTTTCCGCAAAATTCTCCAACAGATTTGATCAAATTCACACTCTTAAAGTGAAACGGAATACCAAACACCATAATCCAAACCACAACAGCAACACTCTTCGCACCTGAGTCAAAATCATCTCAAGGAGATAACTTGATTTGGAAGGACATGAACCAGACTTGATTGAGCTCGTTAACCCTTAGGAACTCCCTCTGGCTTGGAAACAGCAGAAGCCATCTGCCATCCTCAAGTTCATCCAATCCAAAGTTCTTGTCAATCGCCTAGAAATGCTCTGCCCACCTCCTGAATTCGCTGACATGTTCTCTTCTAAAAACATCCTCTGATTTAGATATGAAGTCGATCACCAAGCTCCTATTAAGAATCAGAAGTCTATCTTCTACTCCTTCCTTCTCGAGATGAATATAGTCTTCGCTAGGGGTGGCAGTTCGGTTACCAGTTATCGATTAATCGGTCGGTTAAACCGATAACCGGCCGGTTATCCACTAACTGGTAACCGAAGTAACTGAACTTTGGTCGGTTATCAGAGACTAGACGAAATGATCTTTGGTCTTAAAAATGGTTCGATTAACCGATAACCAAAATAACCGAGAAACCGAAGTCTATTTCGGTCGGTTTTCGGTAGGGGGAGTGGTTATTTCGGTTAACCGATAAGCGGCCGACCGGTTACCAGTTATAACCGAAATAACTGAACTGCCACCCCTAGTCTCTGCTAAGATCTTTGGTAATACGACATTTTCCCGCTCCATAGAACCATCCACCTCTAACGACCTCAACTTAGGATCTGCATTCTGGCCCTTTCTCCAAAAAATTCGGAAAAAAGAACTACCCTTCTTCCGACTTGCACTCAACATCTCGCTTATCCGCATCCGGTATTCTGCAAGGTAGAAGTCCTTCAGGAGAAAGACTAAACCTGCCCAACGTTGTTGGACGCCAACTGAAGGAATAAGAATCTTGTACATACGCCCATTCTTGTTTTGTTCAGATATTTTGAGTTGTTCCCCCCATCTAGTCACCTTATTTCCAACATGAATAATACACGCTTCACTCCTTTTCATACACTCATCAGAAAAGCGCCAATGACACATCGCTGCCGTCTGCAGAACTCCTTTGAGTCACGCAAGGAGAGACTCGACCAACATCACAGACCAACGCTTATTGCCTTCTTCAACCTGCACTCTGTAACCCACACTTCCCCCGAAAATTTTAAGCATGACTAGCTTTGATCCCATCTCTGTAACCCGCCGAAAATCTTCCAGTGCATGACCGCCGACGCCATTCCCCGATACTTGTGACCTGCAAGCATAAGAAACATAAGAGAAATAAGAACCAAAGAAAGTCCCCTTCCTGACCCAATCGCTTCCCCTCTCAGAATCATGTTCTTTGTTACTACTGGGTGTATTACTTTGTTGATGGCATCATCTTTTTCCGAAGAAATTGACCCCATTCATGATCCTTAATATAAGTAGTGATAACACTAAATTTGCACATGTTTTCACCCTAATTTCTTGATTGTTTAGCTTGGTGTTTATCATGCTTTGGTCTATTTTATGCTAGGTTTTGTTCTTTTGTCACATTTCATGTCCTAGCACGTAAAATGAAACATAGGCGCTAGTTTCAAGTCAATCGCAGATCAATTGGCGACTCAGAGGAAGAAACTCGGGCATGATCCAAGGAAGAATTGATTTCTACCTCATTTAATGGGCAAAGAATCCTGTAATCTAGGAATTGAAAAAAGAGGACGAGACTATGAGCGTTTGGGATCAAACGACGACTGATTCAGAGTTCGAATGAGGGAGAAATGACCGAAAGACCGCAGCCTCTCCACAGTTACGGGCTTGCCTTCAAATTTACGGTTTAGAACGTAACTTTGCCATTTTGGCCGTATCTCGGGGCCACGAGAGGCAGAATACATTCCAGAATTTATGGCCTGAACCCCAAAGGTTACGACAGTAACTTGACTTTTGTGAGCTGTATAAATGCGTTTTTTGCGGATTCTGAAGGGGGAGAGCTGGGTTTTGAATACCAAACACCCAATGGACGAACCCTAGAGAGAGAGAGCAACTTGGGAACATTCTTGGATCTATTTTTGAGGATTTATTCACCATTGGAGCTTGGGAATCAAGCTTGGAGATGGAGATTGAAGATCTAGATCAGATTTCTGCATTCTCTCTCTTCTATATGGAGTAACTTCCCTTCACTTAGGTTTTGAGGAACCCTAGATTTGTATGCTAGGAAGAGTTGTGTGAACTCAAATTCATGATTGATTGATGTTATATATTCAGTTGAGGCATTGATTCAGAATTACTTGTGTCCTGATTAAACTTTTGTGATTCTTGCTTTAACCTAGAACGATAGTCTCTGCATAGGTTAATAGAGCAACCTTAATTTGAAGTAGTGGATCGATTGCTTAGTCGAGAAATTGATTCACTGCTTTGTACTGGAATCAAAGCCAGTAGAGGAAGTTTTGTGTGTTTTACCTTAGGTTAGCTTACACCGGTGGAGGTTAGTCGCCCGCCGGGTATTTGAACAGAGAGGGTATAGATAACTTTTGTCGAGAGACCAGACAAGTTAAGAACTTTTCGCAGTATATCTATCAACTGAATTGGATTGGGTGAATTACAACTTGGCCTAACTACAGACTAGGGGGAATCATACCTAAGTGAGTTCCCAACCTGTAATTAGTAGTTTTACTTAGTTTAGCTTGTAGAGTAGTTTAGTTAATCAAACATTAATCTGATTTGCTAGATAATGAACTGAAGCTGAGTAATAGTACATCTAGCGACCCGAGGATTCGATATTTATTACTTGCACCACTATACTGTAGTCTCTCTCATTGGTTACACTTGGCCATTGTTAAGAGTCAAGTAGCCATACATAATTTTATCTCTCTTTTATTTGATATACTCTTTTGGCTTCTTAATGAAGTATGCTTCTTTTCTCAATTTGATTTCGCCACTGTAACACAAACAATAAGGAAGCCTCTTAATTTAGTAAAACATGGTGCGATGGTCATGCCTTGTTATCTTCTATTACATTGACGATAGAGTGAACGGAAATGACCTTAATGTTCATAAAGTCAATTGAATAGCGAAGCCCACAAGAATAAAATCACTCTTTGACGATTGGTTTCTTACTATGGATATTGTGGCAGATTATTACATGTAACATCCTTCCTATCTCTATATTCATAGAGTTCAATGCAATGCATGAAAAAAACCATTTTATCAATAAAGTATGAACAATAGTACTTGAAGCTGGGGGTAACTTAAAAACATTGAAAACTTGTTCAACTCTATGAATTTGACTGGTTCAAGACTAGAACTTATGCAGCAAGTATCTTGAATTTAACTTGTTAAAAAGGGTTTTAACTTTTCCAGCATTAAAGAATTTCCTGGAGAATAGAAGAGGCTCTTTGAGCAAATTTACAGGTACACGAGGCTATAGCAAACTGAAATTCTTATGGAAACAAATGTGTGAGAGAAAGCTATATGTTAAAAAAGTGGCAAGAAAATGATTTACAAACAAATCTCAGTTTGCTGCAAAAACATTCGTTCTCATTTTTTTTCTTATATATGTTCAAGGCTGCTCGTGTCCTCGGGACTCATCATGAGAAGTAGAAGAATCACCCAGCAGAGGCACAACAACACTAGTACTAGTCGAAGATGAGGATGAAGCGTCTGGAACATAATTCCCAACACCACTTGTCGATCTCAAGAACGGAAGAGATGTGTCAAATGGGAATGGAAATCGATGCCTCCTCTCAATTGGACTCCCTACTTGTTCTCCTCCTCCCCGGAAATTAAATCCACCACCACCACCACCATTTTCATTACCGCCAACAATAACGCCATCATTCGATTCCATCTTGGAATCATCAGTGGGCATTTGGAACCTGCAAACGGGACATGAACTGTGTAAATCCAACCAAGGATGAATGCACCCCTCGTGGAACTTATGCTTGCAAGGCATCTCTTTAGCTTCAGCTCCAATCTCAAAATCCTCGAGGCAAACTGCACATTGTAGATTGTTCTCGTTGATGGTTACAGTTGGCATTGTATTGACGGCCTCCTTGTGAGCAGGAGGAGTCCCGTATCTGTTGGGATCATTCTCGGCCAAATGTTGGAGCAACAAGTCTAATCCTGGCCCTACGAGGTAGTCCGCAAAAGAACGAGTAGCAGTAGTAGGAGCATTCTCAAGTTGGCTTGAATCGGGTGGACCATGGAGAATCAAAGCACCTTCATTGAATGGATCAACCAAGATCAAACGACTATTCCTACTACCACCCACATTTGTGCCAGATTCATCGTTCTCTTGATTACGATGGAGGTGATGTTGGGCGAGGGTGCTTTCTGCCCTGGCACGTATATCGTGGAGCAATCGGAGGAATGAGACTGAGCTTCTTGTTCTTCTCCTTGGGAGTAAACTCTCAAACTCCCTGTCGAGTTGATGATGATGTTGCTGTTCTTGGTCGTTTTGTTCGCGCTCCTCTTCATTGCCAATGCTTGATGCATCGGTTCGAGGGGCGGGAAGAGCTGCAAGAGGGGGACGGTAAGCGCTGAAGCCATCCATTAAGCCAAGCAAGATTGGAGCCCAAAGAGAGAATGCACGTTCTGATTCCACATCGAATAATCCACTATCGTTGTTGTTGTTGTTGTTAGAATTGTTATCGTTGTTGTTATTGTAGTTGGTGGGGGTGAGATCTATTATATTATTGTTGCTATTATTGTTCATGTTTCCTCCAGCCACTTCTTCGACAAACCCACTCTCGCAGATGGGGCATTTGATCTCGGGTTCCATTACCGGGTTCACCATGCGACAACACATGTGACACCAGTACTGGTCCACCCTTGCATCCGCCATCTTCTCCTTTTGATATCTAACAATCTGATTCAAATTTTTGTCAAAATTGATCAAACCACAAAATCAAATATCTCTACATGCATGCATCTTTCTTAACAAAAACATGAGATGAAATGATAAATTATTAGAATTTGTGATTACCTCAAGGATACACAAGGTGGGTATTGTTGATCATCTTCAGGGGCTGGGGTATATTTGTTGATGAGCGATTTGGGGAATGAGGAGAAAAGGGAGAGGAAGGATATTAAAAAGGGATTGTGACATCCTATATTCTGATTGATTGTACCTAAAAATTTGTTGGTTGTCCATTGATTCTTCTTAGGTGGGTTTTTTTACAGTTGGGATTCGTTTCATTGCCAATGATCAATATATAGGTCTTATTTTTATCATTATGTATAATGAATTAAAATGGTGATTACGAAATGACTATTTTTGGGTCTTCATGCGTACCATTTGCCTTGTAATGTACATGCTTCTCAATAGTTGGTGGTTGTTGATTCATGGGAATTCTGTTAATCCTATATTTTCTCCATGAATTCTGATCCTATATTTGTGCATCCTATCCAATCATGGTTTAGCTTTGTCTACGGTTGACTATGACAAAACATGAATTTACTGAACTTCTTTCCATTCTCATGGCATACTAGTGAAGTAATATGCCTATTCACTCATAGTTCATTTATAGACTCCAATTTTTGAAAGGGAGGAATAAGATCATCTCCATCGTTGGCAATAGGTTAGCAATTTCAAATGACGTCTCCACCACACACTAATAATTTTAGTAATAGAACTATTAATATATACAAAGAGAAATCATGATAACTGTTCACTAAAATTTTTATTTAATTGGGCTTAGCCCATTGTCTCCACCAATAGTTTTCGTTTTTTTAGTTGGGCTTAAGCCATTATCTCCACCAATAGTTTGATCAGTTTTCTTGATTAATTGCCCAATTTCAGCAATATTCAAATGGCCAATAAGATCACCACTAACCCATACTTTCCTATCAATTTTCCTTTCAGGAATGGGATTAGGTGCTAACCTCTTAAGAGGTTAGCACCATGCTAACTATGTTTTCAACCGTAGGATGAAAATCTAATCTAACGATTAAAATTAAGTAAAGGTTAATTTGGTAAAAAACTATAATAATTAACCCAAACCCTAATATATATATATATATATATGGTTCAGGCTAATGTACACCTGGCGTACACTATACGCCCGTGTTCACATTTGTTAAATCTTTTAATTAATTATAAGTCAATAATAAAAAAATATAATTACAACTACACTTATTCATTTAATTTTCTATTCCATTTAGTCCCAAATAATTATGTATTGCTTAAATCAACCGTATGAATATCCAATATAATATTATAGGCCACTGAAAGCCAGTAACCTGAAGATGATCCCAACAACATGAATATGCCAATGAATGGTGATGTTGGATGGACTCGACCTCGATCTACTGCCCAAAGAGGGATGATGAGACCCGACGTTCACAGAACTGGCGGAGATCATGCACCGGGAAACAGACGGGTCACGAAGCTTTGACCGGACAGTTGCAGAATGGTAGATTGAAATCGATTAGACACATGAACTCTTCCGCCATGGATCGATGATTTCCAAAGTAAGGCACCAATCAACAAAAAGAGATCCATTTAATCACTCGGGCTTGATTAAGAAACATGGTGAAATAGGGTAATCTAAATACAATGAAATTCAAAACTTGATTGACCTATGAAATTGATTCCCGCCGTGTTCTTCCTTTGCATAAATAGAAGCCGGATTTCCTTTCTCCCGGAATTGATAGTGAAACCCGAGAACCAAAGTACAAAACAAAGAAGGGAATTCACCCGCCATCAATAGAAGGTCGTACCAGCATACTTTCTCTATCCATCGAAATTTTCCAGGGATGGTCAAATTGAGTTATAAATACAAAGAAATTAATTTTTTTCTTCGACGTGAAAGAGTAGAAGAATAAATTACAGAATACATAGCATAGCAGAACCAAGGATTTCATGTTGAAGAAGGAAGTACAGAGCATAGCTGCACCGAAGAATATGGATCCTCTCTCTCAATCATTTAATGCATACGTAAATGATTTGTTTAAATATAGCAAATGGTGAAAGTTATTGTGGGACTCTCGGTAGTAAAAAAGGAAGTTATTGTGGGACTAAACTGTACAACGTAATTAATTAATGAGTGTACTTGTAGTTATAATTATTAGATATTACTTTAATTATAAATAATGAATTTATTAGTGTGAACGTAGGCGTACAGCGTACGCCAGGTGTACGCTAGCCTTTGCCATATATATATATATATATATATATATATATTCTACCCACCCTCATTATAGCCGCACCCTTCTTGTGAAACTGCCGCTCGGCCTCCTACCCCTCACACACTCTCTCTCAAAACCACTCATCCCACCATTCTCTTTAAGTGTGTAGTAGTGTTTTATTGGGAGATGAATGATCATATATGTAGTAGCTTCCCCAACTCTCATATCTCTCTATAACCACCTCTGTATCGGTTTCGGTTTTGTAACGTAGTAGTGTTTTGTACTTTGATTTGTAGCTATTCTATGTATTGGACATGGCCTTATTAGTAGTGATTGTATAATAGTGATTTTGTATTTTATGTAATGGTTTATAATTTTCAATTATTTTTTGAGGGAAGGTTTATAATTTTCAATTGATTCTTATGTAAAGTCGTCAATGAGAAACACTACTAATAACAATAGAATATCAATTATAAACAAAATTAAAATTGTTGATAGCAACAAAATCACTACCTACCATTATAAAATCACTACATCATCTTTACAAAATCACTATTAATTTAAGCAGTAGTATTTTTTCATTAGTATTTTTTCACACGTTACTATAAAAGAGGAGAGAGATCATTTAAAATAAAGTTATTCATAAATATTTATTTTCTAAAATACCAAATAAGCCCCTCATTGTTTCCCACCGTCTGATTGAAATTAAAATATTAAATAGTGATAAGAGTGGTTAGCACGGTGCCAACTCTTATAGAATTAGCACCGTAACTCGTCCCCAATTTCACTATTCGCCAACTTTTCAGACATCATAACGAAACCTGGATAGTTTTTTCGCATCGTCCTGACTCCTGTTACAGTAATTAACAACCTCTTTTTTGATTCCCCTGCTTCTATACAATACACCATTGTTTATGGTTTGGTTGGTTCTATATGGATTAATTCTCTAGCTACCAAAATATCTATACAAAGGGAAGAATTGGATATCATGACTGGTAATAATGACCACGGAAGCAATCACTTGGACTGATAGCATGAAGATAATCATAATAGAGGAAGTGATCTAATAATATTTCAAGTAGAAACAAAATACTTTATAATTATGACCAATCTATGTAGCTTGATATTGTGACGGGAAATTATATACCTGCATGCAACCACTTCAAAGAAATAGATAAAAAACGTAGGAGCCAGAGAAATTGTGGAGCTTCTAGCCATCACCACTGAGAGAGTAAGAGATAGAGAGGTCGGAGATAGATTTGATTATTGCAAGTCTGAGAAGGTGGGACCGGTGGTGATGGCAGCGATGGTGGAGGTGGGGAGGAGAGCATAAACTAATGAGAGAGTGTGAGAAGCTCACTGCTACTATCTCTAATCATCACATTTCTTTTCGTTTAACCATGAATATCAATCGAATTTACCAAATGATACACTGTGAAGAAGGAATTTGATATATGTAATGTGAATGCACAATTAATAATAAAATCATGCTACGATAGCGCGGGTACTTTTCTAGTATTCTATAATTGAGGTCATTACATCTTTAAAATGCATTAGCAATTTTAATCATATAACCCGTTAATCATTAGAAAGTAATTTATGAGTCATTGGCTCCTTAGATATGGGTCAGGGATTTGCAAGCCAAATCACATTCATAATAAATTTTTTACAACTTAATTGTAGTTTAGGAAATGGAGAAATTTGTGAATCCACTAATTTGGAATGTTCACCTATGTGCATGAGATTTGCCACAAGGTCCCAAATTAATGATGAAAAAATAACCCCATAAATATTTTATCATCCAATAAAAAACTTCTAAAGCTAGTTTGTTAAATGCTTTTTTAACCCATAAATCCAACTAACCAAATCCATAATCAACTCTAACAAGCAAACAACAATACTTTTCAAATCTACAACGATCAAAATCAATCATTAGTATTTCATTTTCCAAATTCAAAGATTTGGTCAAAAGCTTTTTTACATGATATTGAAAGGGGGTCTAAAAGGGAAAGGTGATGTCCATCTTATGATTCAAACACGAGACCTCCAAGTTGAAAACCAAAAATGATATCGCTTGACCAAGTTCTTGTTCATGATTTGGACAAAATCTTTATTTTTCAAATTCAAGAAGCAACTTTTGAAAAAAGAAGGTTTTGGTATAATTTGGATTTTGAAAAACCATGGATATATGAGGGTTTTGGGTGCATAATAGATTTGATAAACACCAATGTTTGTTTGATAGATTTCATGATAGATTTTGTTAATTAAAATTGTATGTACGAGGTGTAACTTACCTTTATTGCCCTCAATGATATATGAAGAGAAAGAAAATATAAGGGATAGGTTTGATAAAAAATTATGAACTTTGAAGTCCATGATCAATTCCCACCTAAAGGTGAGATTTTCAAGTCCGTGGGCCCCATAGATTTTGACCCTCAAAGTCCATGGGTCCCAATAATTTGTTATCTCTAAATACTTGAAGAACCCAGTCAAGCAAAGAAAACCTTCCCTATAGTCCACTCGACACTAAATTGGGAATAAAATAGACAAAGACGAGGAAATTGGGCAATCATTCTTTTCAAATATAACCTGCAGAAGAATAATACAACGACAACGCTAGCTTCGAATCGAACAAAGAAAATCCATTACTTGCAGAAGAAAAGAGCAACACAGCGGCCGAATTGAGAACCTAACCCCAGGTGGTCATGAGTGGCAATTGAGGAATACATGGAAGACAACAAAACTATAACTGATTCGCAGAGCAGTGAGTTCCTCGAACCCAATACACTAATCAAGAAATCCCTGTTGCAAATCGACATAGACCTATAAGAGAAATTAGCGGATAAGAGAAGAAATTAAATTTGAATTGATTATAATCGCTATAGGAAGGAAGGAAGAACTTGTAAGAGGAACCAACCAAATTAAACCTCTACCTGGGACGACCATTAAGAATCGATTCGGAGAGGATATGGAAGGAGGCGGCCACTGAGAAATTCAGAGAGGTTATGGAAGGACCGGTCGAACGATAGTATGAGACTCTATGAGAAGATGA